TTTATTCATCCTTTCGATTAAACTATTGTTTTAATAGCGAGATTTAACATACAAAATGAGCAATTTATTAGTAGAAATTGGAAAAAAGCAATTATCCACTATTATTATCTAATCATTTTCGTGAATTTTAAATAATGTACGTGTATTCTGTCGTCATTTTATATTATGAGCTTTAAATAAAAATTAATACACTAATCTTACATGCAGAAAATGTGTTGTGTAGGTACTTTGGATTCACTCAATACAAGTAAGTTAAATGAGAGTTTATTTTGTATTTTAAAATTCGTTATTGCCCCCTTCACATTACTAGAATTTTTCAAATTTCAAATTACACGTTTTTCACACGACATTATGACACATTTTTGTAACTTCCATTAGACCTGTCATAATTTAAATCCGCTGTAGTTGATAACGTTTCTAGGTCACTAAGTTTTACTGGTGGTTGAACTGATATTTTCAGTGTCCTATAGAAATAAATCATGTTTTATTAGTCATACATCCGCTTATGTTGTCACTAGTTCCTGTTCCCTTCTAATATCACCTCAAAATTTTACACAAATAAATCCTATCTAACATATACAAAATATGATGATTGATGAGTCTACACTTGTGGTTTATCATTCCACTCATATATTTTAGATTTGCTTATACAGGGTGAATCAAAAAGATTAATGAATGAGTTAATTTATTTAATTGATTAAATCAGGAACTACAAAACCGAATACTTTGAAGTCTTGCAGACGTTTTGAAGTTGTTGTAAGTATGGTAAATTTTTAATCAAAATGTATTTGTTTATCCCCCTATAAAATTGATGACATCATCTCAAAATTTTTCCGAATCAGTCCAATCCAATCGAAAATGTGCAAAATATAATGAGTCTGTAAATACGATTGATTATTGTCTTCATATTTTTAGAAGTGCTTGTACAGGTGAGGTGACTGAAAATAAATAATGAATGATAGAGTCCACTAATTTTCTGGATTAAATCAGGAACTGCATAATTGAAAGCTTTCAAATCTTGCAGGCATTTCAAAGTTATCGCAAACACTGAAAGTTTTTAATCAATATGTCTTGTTTATCCCCCCCCCCCCCCCCCAAAGGATCGGGTCATCTCAAAATTTTGCCGAATATATCCCATCGAAAAAATGCAAAACATGATGAGTCTATACTAGTCATTTATCATTGCCTTCATATTTTTAGTATTTCTTATACAGGTGACTCAAGAAAATTAATGAATGAGTGAATTTATTTTATTAATTAAATCAGGAACTGCAATTTTGTAGACATTTTAGAGTTATCGTAAACACGGTAAATTTTTAACCAAAAAAATTGATGACATCATCTCAACTATCTATAGTACTTGTAATTTAACATTGCCTTGGTGAGCACAAAATTAGTCGAAAGTTGTTTCGATAGAAATTCGCTCGTCCCTGAAGTACAATGAAACATATTTAACATTTTCAAAAAACGAAATTTAATTTTGCGAGTTTTAATTTTTTATGAGAAACCATATAAGTTAAAATAAACATATGTAAATATGTAATGTTAAAGTAAATGTAAAGTATCGTACTACTCGTATGTTTCAGATGAGTTTTTACTTCAACATTTTTGGACACGTATGTCAACTTGGATTGGTGCAGTGTAGTACTAATAATAACAGTATTACATTCCCAAACTTACTGGGCAAATGGAGTTAGCCCCTAGAAATAATATTATATGGAAGTAACTTAGAGAGAGTCGCGCGTTGTTAACACAGTGGGACAGAGATAGGGCTCTCTGGGTGGCAAAACATTGACGCGAAACTGCAGAGCACTGTGTTTCTGAAGGTTTCTTTCGTGCTGTATGAAGGTGTATTTTTGCAAATTTACGTTTTTTAGCCTCAAGTTACCTTATTTAAATGTTTACAGTCTTCTTAAGTTGTATTTTATTGGACTATTTGTTAAACATCGTGAAATCGTGTTGTGCGTGAAATTGAATAGAATGTGCAAAGAAAGCAATCCTGTTTCATTTCATAGGTAATAATCACATACACAGACGAAGGATTTCGTAAATAATTTAAAAAAATTGTTAAATTCTCTAAACATTCCGAGTTACGAAAAAAAAACGGATTATTGCTACAAAAAGAGGGAATTTTGTATCTATCGATTATTGTTTTAGTTATTTGAACGTGGATTTAGAAAATAAATTTTAGTAGCAAATTCCACACAATTTAATATGTTTAATTTAATTAGGCACCCTGTCACTTTTATCAAAAGTTTAATTACTTTTATCCTAAAAATTTCAGAATTACCAAAATAAGATTAATTAACTTGTAGAAGATTATTGTACTAACTGAATTCCTAATATATTGCAGATTCTCTATACATTTCATTTTATTAAAAGACTATCTCCACCACTTAACATGATCTTTGTTGTTTCACATTACACATAATTTTAATGTAAACTGTAAAAATATAGTTTTCATTAACAGACGTTTGTTATAATTGATAGTTTGAACAAATTCCCGTTCAAATGAAGCGTTTCTTGCCACCCAGCACGTGATACGTGGTCAGCCGTCCTTTCCTCACTGATGCATAACCGCTCTAGCTATTTCTTTCTCATGTTGATTACACTCGCTCGCGTATGGATACGTATACAAGGCTCCATCCACTCCTTTATTAGATCAATGAGTTAGCCGTACTTGATTTCATCAATAAAATAAATTGATTCATTCATTAATTTTTCTGAGCCAAGTGCATTAGTAAATCTAAAAAATATAAATTCAGTCCTAAATCACAAGTATAGAGTGATAATATTTTGCATAATTCAGAGAGGTTGTATTCGAAATAATTTTGAGATGACGTCATGAATTTTTTGGGAGGAGATAAATGAATACATTTTTATTAACGATTTACCATAATTACGGTAACCTTAAAACATTTGGAAGGTTTCACGTTTCCTAATTATCCGATAAAATAAATTGACTCATTCATTAATTTTTTTATCTCTCGTTCCTGTCTGTCTGTCTATCTGTTTGTCTGTCTGTCTGCCGTCCGGGACGATTTTTCTTTGACAAATAATTTCCGAAACTACTGGACCTTTTGTTCTCAAATTTTATATGTGTATTACAAATATCATGTTACGACGAAACTCCGGTGTCAGTCCGGAATTTCGCTGATATCACCTGGGGGTGGTGTGTCTCAATGCCAAGCCCTAGGCCGACTAGTGCCGCTGAGAAGAAACACGTCTAGCCGGCCTCGGCTTATGAGGTTACCTTCACGCCACCGGAGGTGGCGCCTTCGGTCGGGATGACCAAGGGCCTGGACCACATGAGAAATCAAAACATTTGTGATTGGTGGATGGTATTTTATTATTGAAAACACATCAATAGCGAGTTTGTACACGACTTTCAACTGAAAAAATGTTTATAAAACACATGTAACAACAAACAACACAAATTTCAAATTTTAAAAACCTATTTCCTCTTACGGTTTAGATTGTGTTAACCGCATGGGCATAATAGACAACTGCCTAGAGTGGCAAGTCTGAAGGGGCGGCAAATTTTCCCTATTAGTTGATTAATAACATATGTACATTAAAAAAAAAACAGGGAGTTACTGGAGAGTGGAGAATCGGTATAAAGTGAGTTGTCTGTAGGTGGCAAATGGGGAAATGCGACTCTTCTTCAGAGTTCATTTATAGTTGTAGTAGTATAGGTATAGAAAAAATCGATTTTTGGGTAACCTTGTACTGGATTCTTAATTTATGGGGGCTGACCCCACACTGTACTACTGTACACTAGTTTTATTAACTACAGACAATACTTCTTGGCTTAAAACAAATTTAGGAAAACAATCTTTTTTTTGTTCCGGATTTAACAAAACTTAAAGCTTTGGTCGTGTCCAGTTACCATTTAAAACTGACATTTTAAACTTTTAACATTTGTGAAATGTATAACAAACTGGAACTGTTTTACTATAATATTTGTGTTATACATATATTGGTATTCTATTTTGATTACTATTAGCAACCCTTATATCACATATTTTACTACAATTAGTCATAGATCTATGTAAACTATTTTCTTTATTCAAAACAATTTTATTACTTTTCGATCATGATAACTTGGACACTACTAACGACGAGAGTTAAGATCCTGTTTTTTTGTCTGTTAGTTATTTTGCTTATTAATCTTTTAATTTAACTTGTCTGAACTGTGTACTTTTTGGTCACGTAAACCGTGAACGTTTTCTACCACGAATATTTTCTATCCGTCTTTTATGATATAATCAATATAGCACCCTTTTTTTATATACGATAAACCGTAGTAGAAAACAGAACGCCAACAACAGGTTCGATTCTCAGAAACATATATTTAAAAGATATTTCCTTTAGATCTCTCTGTCGTAATCTCTCCGTCGTATCCTGAGGCTAGTCTGCTGTTGACATGCGTATTCGACAACAAAGGCTATTGCTTAAACGAAAAAATAAAACACTTATGTTTACAATGCGAGTTATCTTGAATGTAGCCTAAACTTCCACTTTGTAACACCAACAAATTGTTGTTTTATGTTCTCATTCAAGTTAAGTATAGGAGTACACATTCTGGTTTGTGAAAACTCAGGGTGGAACAGCATTGTAACAATTATAAATCGTGAACCGTGCATAAAACGACTGCAGAACCATTTAGAATGCTTTCTTTCCCATCTCGAGTGGAAAAATAATACTCTCGATTGAGTAAACAGAGCAGAGTTAAAAAAATAAGAGCTTAAAATTAAAAGAGCTTACGACGATATAAAAGTGTCCGCTAACAAGAATTTTTTACTGGAGTTAATTTCATATTTTAATTGAAGAATATTCGCCTCGACGAAACAATATATCAGGTGCACATAAATTGTTCCTTTTTATTAATTATCGCTCGTCTACTTCACGTTTCTGTTTCGTGTAATTGTAAACCCATTATTTTTGAACCGCTTGTATAAAAAGACATTACCTTGTACAAATTTTATATTATTTTACAGAAATAACGAGCAACGTGCGCAGCACCACCACGTTACTTGTGGATACCGGCTTTGGTGAGTAGTAGTCCACGGTGGCGTTGAAAAATGTCGTAAATAAAATTTGATTCACATAGATCAGTGTTGTTAGCATTCAACATATGCATATTTCTTATCGTGCTTTATTTTGTTTCGTGATAGCAGTAATCGACCAATAAGTGAGTGTAGATAATTCATTAATTAATTAATTTCCTCATTCCAATGGCCAGCTCTCTATCGCGAATACTCATTTTGTTGATTACTTAAACCATTTACCTAAGTCATCTAATGTTAACGGTGGATTTTATTCATTTTCTAATTCAAACGGGTATCTGGCCATTCAAATGACGAAACAAGTTACGTAATTAAATTATACTCGCAACAACGTTAAAACAGAAATTAAGTAATTAATGCGAACAATTCAAAAAGCAAAAAAAATATTTAGCGTGTGCTGTAGAAATCATCAAAATAAATGTATGATTTTTTTAAAGTGTTTGTAATAAGTACATGAAATTCGAAATAAAATCTACTGCAATTTTATGAAACTAGAAAAATACGCAGATATTTAATAGCTAATAAAAATAATAAAAACTCCAGAGGAAGCAAAAAAGACGTTCTTGCAATTATGTTCACATAAACAAAATAGGAACAGCCTCCGGGTTCCACATGACACGAAAATTAAAATGTCATCAGAATGTGAAACAAAGTTGGACAAAAGTTAAGGATAGCAATTAGACAATATCGAACTAATTATTTGCATGATACACTACAAATTATTACATAATATTTGTTTGTCTTGCTTTATGATAATAATCTTCATTTTCATTATATGCTTCAAATACGTTAAATACTCACTTGTACAGTTTTACGTAAATGAAGAATAAATGAATCAAACATTGGAAACAAATAAATACAATTGTTCTGTCGATTATATTTACTACGCTACGATAAAAACTGGTTTCAAATTTAGTAAAATTGTTCGGATATCCCTAAATATTTTTCAAACGATCAATATTTTAAGAAAGAATTTCAGATAGATAGCAACTGCGTTATTTTCGGATAGTTTCAGACGAACTGGCAAACATATCAGTCTACTCGTGGGGCAACGGTTGGTCAGTGTTCGAGAAGTCCTAGGGCGAGTTTTTACCTTTAGTTGAAGTACTTGGTTTATTGAAAATTGTTTTAACTTTCCATAGAAAACACTTCTCCATAAAATTTAAGCTTGACTATGAATGATAACATTAGAATTAAATTTTACTCTTAATGAGTTTAATGACCGCAGCGCATAATCTAGAATGGTTGCACCTATTTTTCTCACTTCCTACAGAAGTATCCAAAAATGATTTTTAAATGTATAACAGTGCTCACGGAATTTCCGGTCTGCAATTGTTCTAAACAATTTTTGTACAACTGTCATGTATGCTTAGAAAAAACGCCACTACTCTTAAATACTGAAGTAAATAGCTATTTGCGGAACCAGTTATGAAAAGCTTCATTACTCGTAACAAGTGTAAATTTTATAAAACTTAACTGGAAGAAATTATTTTTCACCCTAGCACCACCCTTGTCATGACTGGTTCTAATAAATTTCGAAATACTCAATAGTAATATCCCCAGTGCATATTAAACTGTGTACAATTTTAACGCGTACGAGAGAAAATTAGGAGACACTTCGATTTCCACGAGCGGATATTTTGTAAACTATTTCTTGAAAAAAAATTGTGTATGTATCGTTCCATTCCAATAAGATTAAGAGATTAATGTAAATTACGCAAAAATGATAAAAACTCAAACATTTTTTTAATCTGCATCTGTACAAATTTTTGTATAACAACGTAAAGAGTAAAAATTAAAATGCATTTCGGCATGTTTGGCGGAAGCTGCTCGGACAACATCGATGTGGAAATAAATAGTTTCTCCAATTTGCATTAACAAATCAACAGGATCTGAGTGGAAGTTTGAAACATGCGCGTAGCACGCTTCTTTACATTTACTTTAACATTACATACATATCTTTATTTTAACTTACAGTGGTTCCACCAAAAAAAAAAATAAAATAAAATTCGCCATATCAAATTTTGTAATTTTTCGTTAAAGTTGGATAAGTTTTATTGCACTTCAGGGGCGAGGTAACTTGTGTCGAAATAATAAATATTTTTTTTCTATGTATAATATATCCTTATTTCACATTTATATACATATATAGCAATGCAAAACTTTTGTCTTAACGTAAGTATGCAGGGGCAGATTTGAGATTCGATAAAACTATTCTGGTCAGTAAATTTTTGTGACAAGTTACATTTACCGGTGTATTATACAATTGTTCATTTGCAAATATAAATATCATGTAACAAGTTTTATGTTACAGTAAATAATTTTACGTTTGATTCCATAACGATTAACAATTCATTTGACTGTGACAACGGCGGTACCTACTAACTACAAATTATTAACAATTTTCAAATGGAGGTGAATGAGTTGCTAAAAAAAAATTCTTCGGTTGAGTCAAACATAAAGCGATATATATCACACCTAAATAATGCCTTTTATTGGATTTGCCCTTCTATTAGCCTCACGAGCAAGCTCGCTCGGCCATAAAAGGACGCGTCCAATAAAGCTATGTATTATTTAATTGTAGCATAAATAGCTATTATTGATATGTTTTTATCGTGGAAGTCATGTATGTTATTCATTTTGTTCCGTAAATAAAACTATTGTCCTGTAAAAATAACCAAAGCTTAGTTAATAATGTTGGATGTACAGTAGAAATCATAGATGTTCAGTAGCAATTGAACAGGTTCCTTAGAAAATTATGATGTTCTTTATATATAACACTCACATGATACATACATAACCTCATTATTTCCTACGCATTTGCCTTTTTTCGCCGCTTGTTCCCACTCTCCGGTTTGTCTAATTATCTTGTCTAGTGATGAATACAATTCCCGTAAGCATAAATTTTGACTTTCATCAGTGGGTATAGATGTTTTAAATACGTAGTCACTGCTTGCATCGACAATTAACTTACAATACGTATTTTGATTAAAAATTTGAACGTAGGGCCCGCGTTGACAAAATATGAAGCCCATTAGCCCTTTTATTAACAATTTGAAGTTATCGAAAGTAGTCGAGTAACATCTCATTTGAAAGTTTCTTCATTTATCTAATAATAGAGGATAACAATTATACAATTAGGTCGCACTGTAATACATATGACAATGAACTTTTTTAATTTCGAATGTTATCATAGCTATTAACACACCTAGGATGTAAAGTGTACCATAAGCGCCGTAGCCGTTCGTTAGATGACTATAAGGCGGTTATGGCACCCTTTACATCCGTGGTGTGTTCAAGATTTTCTCGGTTTCTGCCGATTTTAATCCAATAATCCAAAAATTAATAAAAAAATAAATAAATTTGGTTGATCACGTTTGCATGATATATTTCGGTGTCATAGTTACATTTTATTGTTTAAAATGATGGATTTAGGCGACGTAGGTGCCCGAAAATGTTAAAAATGCAGCCAGTCAAGCATTAAACAGTTTAAATAAAACCGGGAAAGTGACTTACAAGTATTACTTTTCACATTCATTGCTTTTTAATTCCTTGACAAATGTTGTAGATGCAACAAATTGAAAAGTAGAGGAAAAAAGTGCCAATATAGTATTTATTTGCATATTTCGCTCAAGCTTCCGCCACTGTTGTGAAAAATTACTTTCCACTGCCTTGCCCAAACTAAGTTGCTCCAGCTTCAGCTAGAGCAGTTAGACTCTGGGAAAGCTTTTGAAACATTTGGTGATTTCAAAAACATGTTTTTTTGCACGGTGCGTGATGCTGCCCATTGAAAAATCGGAGTGGAAACGTGGAACTTGTGATTGTCCATCATTCTTCAAAATATACATGTAATTATATAAACATGTTGTTGGTTTAGCCATTAAGCTAAAATTAGTAGCACTCCCCCCAGCCGTGAAAATAGTCCCAACTGGGGAGAAAAGAAAAAGGGGTCGACCTGCCAAAGCTAAAAAACTATTGATAAAATGAAGACTATTGTTTTTTAATGATTATCCTTTAAATAAAAGTACCTACTCTTTTTTTAGACCATGTGTGTTAATAAAAAGCGTTATTGAAACAAGGAAGACTGTATATTATTCTTTCTTCTATTCCAAAAATTTAAATATTAAAACAGAGTAGTGTTATTAATTTAATTTTATATATTCTAAAAAATCATAATTCCCGAATAAAATCAAATTCGACTTCTATAGTAGTTCCGGTGAGAAATTAGGATTTCTTAACAGTTGACATGGAAGTTGACAGCAACCCAACACTACAAAATACACTGAAATTTCTAGGCTGTCGCTGTCTCTGTTACAAATGTAAACTTCCATTACTTTGGTCACTTTTCTGACCCGCATCTCCAGTGCTTCTTTAAAGATAAATGTTCTAGGAGATATTTCAAGCAATTTTCAGGAGAATACAGAGGTATAATGATAACATACATCGTTTTCTGTTATTAAGAGACATTTTTGTAGCAAAAAACATCAACTCGTAGCCAGGAATTTATTTTCGTATCGTAAAGTTATGGCTCCTAAACAAAACTCACTACAAAAATTCTGGAGTAATGTAAAATTTATTTTTCATAGCTCTTGAGATTAGATTCATTTTGAAATTTTAAATTTCGGGCGGATGGTACACTTTTCTTCACGTAGATTTAGTGACTTTTCTGTCACTCAATCTCTCACCGTACGTACTAAGTAAAATATATCAACGTATGACTAAATTAAATGTGCATAATTTCTCGCATCTGTGTGCTATCGTTATTATTAGAGACTTTGGTGGTAACTAATTGTGTAAAAAAATAAGCGCGCCTTTTTTATTCCCAAATGATTAACAAGCCATTCTAGGGCACGTATTTTTTGTAGAAATCGGATGATCGACAGTGAAATAAATAAGAATAAGAAGACATTGAGCTTAATGAGTTTTCTTTATAAATGAATGCTTTTGTTACGAATATACTGGACATTGTTATTAAAAAAGTCACG